AGGTCATGAATAGAAATTCAAATTAGTTGATTTTACATTATAACAGATTTATAATAGAAATATATATTAAACGATCTTAGACAGGAGCGAAGTCAATTGTAATGAATTTGTAGCATAAAATTTAATTACAATGAATCTTTATTATAAATTTGAATTGCAATAGATTTTTATACAAATTTAATTAGAAATTTCAATATCGAAAAGAGATGGGAAATCCATGAAATCAGATTAATTTCTATTATTTCTTTTAACAAAGTACACAAAAACATTTCGAAGTACGAGAATAATCTTGATCCACGCCTGAACCTGAACGGTGACTTTTCATTCGCGAAATGTGCATTAAAATCAATCGGGAAACAGATTCAGTTACTTGCTAACTCGAGTACTTAGAATTTATTTCGTCGACTTGTAATGAATTCATGTAATTAACAGAACTTCCACGGAACTCCGATACCTGTAAAGTTCCCGCCACAGGGAACAGGCACGCAACAATAGTAACTGCAGATGTTAGTTCCCAAGTTGGTCGCTTTATATGCAATTCGAATCGCCGGGTACGTTCCTATCGCCATATACGCGAGCGCCGGTAATCGTTGCGCGTTCTTGTTTACTTAAAAGTTTCGGTTTTATCGCGGCCGCGAAAAGTTCGCCGCGTAAACCAGCCGCTGCGCTGTCTGAGAACTGGTGCACATCTCTCTCTGCTCGAGTTTCAAATAAGAGAACGATCTGCTCCCGAATAGGAGTCGCTGGTCGCCGCGCCGCGTCTCGCCTCGTCGTCAATGAAACGAAGCAACGAAATCACCGGCAGGCCCCGTTTCTCCGGTTTCTCAATGAATCAATCGGAACTGTATCGTAAGTGCACACGGTAAACGAGCCACACCCGTTATTACGAAACTGGAGAAAGAAGAAAGAATAGGGGGCAACGTGAAAGAGAGAGGTCCCGTCGAAGTCGTAACCACGTTAGTACTGGGTCACGATGCCTTCGTGTTCCGCTTGCGAACGCGTCAAAAGCGCTATAATTTTCTCTTACACCTTGTCGACCTGCGATTGTTGACCCGAGATTTTGCTACTTTGATCGGATGATAAATACACGCGACAAAAAAAGCTAAAGCATCAGTAATTTTTGGCCGAAAAATTGTCGATCTTTGAACAACTATAACTCCGTTGACAGCTATCATAAAATCATGATTCTTATTTTAACCCTAACGAGGTCTAGAAGCGACTAATAAAAATTGCCTCATAAGAATTACAAAATAAAATTTGTTCAATTTTTCAGAATTCCTGTAACAGTGTGTGCCTGAATAAAGAAATATATTTCTAAATAAATTTCTAATGGAAGCAGTTTTATGACTTAATAAATGATTATGAAGTCAAAAATGTGAAACCGGTCATTTAACCGACGGTGGGTTGGTTGGGTGGTAGGTTTAGTGTTAAATTAAAGCTTGACGTCTTTACTTTACGATATCATATTCTAATTGTTAACACTAGTTTTTACGGAACCCGGCAAAGTGGCGGGTCATTAATTTTTTAATTTTCGATTATTCAGCTTGCAAAAATATATTTATGAGTTAATTATTACACGCATCTTATTGTTACTTTTATAAAATAATATAAAATAATATAAAATAATATAAAAGTGCCAACTTTAATGGCTTCTATGGAGTCGCAAGAATTTTTTCGAACATGCTGTCTACAGCATCGTGAAGAACGGACCTTCCCCTTTAACTTGAGAGCCGAATTTTTTCTCGCAAAGTTACAATAGTTTAAATGAAAAATGTGCCGCCGACACATTACAACCACATTCTTCTAACTCAATTTCTTTGCACGATTTTTTCTGATGTTAGGTCGTGTAGCATAAAATGTCAGAAGAGAACGA